GCCGTGCTGGAATTTTGAAATTGGCCAAGTGGGCCATGGGACTGATTTTGAGTTTATTTGGAGTATTTGTAGGTACTATTAGCATGTTTTAATTTCCGAAGAAAAATTCAGGGAACTTAGGAATCGCCCATAAGCGCAGTCGAACAGTTAGCTTTTCGGGCATCAAATCGAGTAAAGATCCCTCACCATATTTTCTATTATAGAATTAAAGTTTAAATAAATAATAATACGATATTTGTATCAATTTAGAAAATGTGCATAATTAATTACGGGTTGCTAATGGAAGCAGAGCCAAAAATTCTCTATTGTTGCTTTGTTGATTGTTTTACAATTTAAATGCATTATAATACCTTATTAATTAATTTTATGGCTTTGAATGCATATATAATTTTTTCTATGTATTTACTACTGAATCGGAAAAAAATAAACGTTAAATGGTAAAAATTATATGATGAAACGGCAGCCTTACATGATATCTTGGGAGATGGTGGACGAACCGGGTACATAAGAAATCTCACCGTGAACGTTGTCTCATACCGGAGGGGATATGGAGACTTGATAATTTGACGCTCATACTGGACGGGGTATGGGGACGACCCGCTTCACCCTCATACCGGACGGGGTATTGAGGTTTGGTAAATTGGTGCTCATACTGAATGGGGTATAGGGACGCTCCGTAATTAAGAATGTTAAATGAAATGGTTTACGTGTAGTGAGGACATCCCTATGAACCTCCATGGATACCAGCAGGCTGGTAAAAAGAGTGACAGTTGTTGTTTGATTTATTGATGATGGATATAGATTTATCATATGTGTTATGATTGCTGATTATACGTAGAATATGATCTGTATAATATTATTATCTGTATAGATTGTTTTTATAAATTCTACTACGGTAAGTGAACGATAAATGATTATTATGATTAATAAATGAATTTGCTAAATTTAGTACTCCATTAGTGATTTTTGATTTTATACTAACTTTTACTTATGTGTCGATGATATAGTGTGATATTCTTACTGGGTTAGTGTAGTCATCCCTTATTTAACCATTTCAGATCAAGAGTACTAGGTTCCAAAGCCCGATCCGTAAGAGTATTGCGAGTAGATGCTAGATTTCTTTATTTTTCGTTTATTTCCGTATTCTTGTGTTTCTTTCAAAATGGTGAATTCCGTAACACTGTTTGGTACTTTAAGTTATTTGTATAAGGAATGTAAACCCTGAACATTTATTACACTTCCGCTCTTTAATTATCTTTTTTTTTTGGATATTTCTGGAGTCGTTACATCTTATATCTAAGTAAGAGCAAAGCTTATTTAAGTGGTTGGAAATCTATACCCTTCTTTCATGAAGATCATGATCCATAAATCAAAGCCTACCATTAATGTCGTGCCAACATATACTGTCTTTTTTTTTTTTTTGCTTCAATATATCTATTAAAAATTTGATTGCCTAGTATAATATCTTAATATGATTCAAATTAGATTTATTTTGATTTCGTGTCAGTTTAGAATTACATTTACTATCATCAAAAGAAAAAAAAAAACGAGAAAAAAAATATCATTACTAGCCAAAAGTCCAAGG